GTGCAGGCATACAGTATGCCAAAAAAACAAGCAAAACACACATGCATGCACACACAATGATGTGAGCATATGTAGCGCGATCGACCGACAACACGTGGTCCGCGGAAAGGGGTGGTAGGCGCCTGATACACCGGAGGCGAACGGCTTGCGTGCCTCGCGTGGTGAATAGCTTGCGCCGGAGGGCGAGTTCTGTTCGCAAATTGTCTGAAGTGCACGACGCGCGACGAGATCTATTGTGAGAAAAAACACAGATATTCTACTGCGACCGGGGGCGGGGCAAGGGGAGAAAAACGCAGAAGGAGGTATGAGTTGTTACAGCTGCCTCGAGCAAGCGTCTTCTCGACGAGATGCTACATGTGAGTGTCGTGCAAATCGCTTCGGGCACGGGGGGGTCGGGGTAAACAGTTGCCAATGATGTGCAAGAAAGACGTGCGAGCTGCGACGAGAGCAAAGTCCATATCGGACGCGCGAGGGTGTTTTTTCGTACAAGGTAGATAGGACACAGGCCCAAATAAGAGGCTTCTTCATCCCCCGAGAGCGTGGATCTCTGTCTAACAAAGTCCATGGAGGCCAAAGAGCCCCCCGCCCCCTCCGCTGAACGCCAAAGAGATCAAGGACTCCAGGAAGACATGAAGATGGTTGTGACATGAGTGAAGCTGGGTAGACTCCGGTGCTGAGAACACACCACAGCATCAGCCAACAGGCTACCACCGTCGCCCAAAGCAATGTGCACGAATGCAGCATAAAGCGCTCGTCTCTCTCTCTCTCTCTCTCTCTCTCTCACCTCTTTGCCTCCGATCGATCGAGCAAAACGAAATCGGATCGCTTTCTCCTCGACCGAACACTTTCAGGCGTGCGTGGTACGCAAACATGCTAGCGGGCGGACGCTATTGGACTACTCGCGCGGGTGGCTACACGTCGGTTAACCCCCCCCTCCCCCCACCCCCCTATCTCAAATTCACCTTGACCGCGGCGGCGCCCCCCCAACGCGCGCGGGCGGTTACACTTCGCGCGCCCCCGCCCACCTTGGACCGAAGGCCCCACACCGCCATGCCGCCGACCACCAGCCCCATCATGAGTCCGACCAGAAGCTGCCCCATGTTTGATGTCACGCGCGCGTCCTGCCGAAGGGGTCGGACATCACCAACCAAACGAAAAACGTGAGAGAGAGGGGGGGGGGCGTACTCTTATGTTTTGGATGCCTTAGCGGTTAGACCATTGACCACGCGTCCTCGAGAGGACGGAGCATTGTTCCCACAGGACCGATCACCGATGGCCAATCGTTCCTTTCTACTTTGCCAAAGGTGGCTCAAAAATGTCTTCCCTAGTCTGTCTATCCTAACGATATCCCTTCCCGCCTTTTCAACCCACCTCCTATGCCCCAGTACAGCTACCGTCCTTTCCTCTCTATTCCATGCCTCAAACATCTCCCTGTACGTTCCATCTATTTTTCCCAGCTCAGTCACGTACACTTCCCTCTCCTTCTTGTACAACGGACATTCCGCGACTACATGAACACGGTCTTCGCATTCGAAGCCGCAATCACATTTGAACTCGTCGTCTTCCTCGTCTACCGTCCTATGTCTTCGTCGACGTTCTCGAAGGCCCATGTCCCCGGTCCTGAATTCGACCTTCAGCTTTCTTCCTGCATCCATTGGTCCATGTAGGTAAANTTCGAAGCCGCAATCACATTTGAACTCGTCGCCTTCGTCGTCTACCGTCCGATGTCTTCGTCGACGTTCTCGAAGGCCTATGTCCC